CGAGTGAGGTTTGAAAGAGAACAACAATTAAATCACCATATACAGTGTGCCATATGTACAACTTGGCTGCAACAGGGCCTCATCATAAAATTTTCTACCCAGGGCCCCAGACAGGTTAATCCATGTAGCATATGCTTCATACACAAGTATATTCAACACACACAGTATATGCTGTGTGCCTACTATTACTGGATGATAGATATGCTCTGGTCGTCATAACAAGGAGAACAACATCATCATTAAATCTAAATCAATCAATCGAATGTTAAACCAAGACCTCTGCTCTCTGTTGCCAGTAATACAACTCTGGGGTAAAATAAATGAAGCTTCTAGAATTGATTGTGAAAATTGACCAAATTGAAAATCCATTCTTGCAGAAATTTGATTATTTACAGGAACATAAAAATATTAAGTGGCACATGATAAAACCTTTGTCACAGAATATAAAGATACCTTGGTAGAAGAAAGGGCATTTTTTTGTTTCTACTAGGAGAACTTATAGATAGATTTGCTTGAAATTTAAAAAGAGCATCTAAAACATCAGTTTTCACTGAATATCAGCCTCACACCAGCTCCATCTTGTTGACAGAGATGAACTGTAGCGATGAGTGCAATCACACACATGCTTCTTCTGTTCACATCATCACCTCTTCCAGCTCACTTCCACCCCCCTCTGATTTGTTTGATTTGCCTAAGTAGTGACTCACCAACCCGTCTGCATTCACTGGACGCACGAAGTCAAGTTTCTTTATCTAGATTTGGCAGTTTAATGTAATACAACGCTTTTTCAGACACTATCATTCACATATTAGAAATACAGTAGGCCTCTGACACAAGAACAATATAAATTATTTAACATGAAAAACTGTTTTTTTTTAATCTGAACACATTTTGGGACTGGTAAAATATATATTCTAACACTATTGAACTTTGTTCTTCACAACAGGATTGCAGGCACAAGGTTTTAAATGGTAGACCCAATTGTTCTGTAAATATTTGTCTCTAGAGACTGATAGATGCACTTTGTTTGTTTGTTCCAAATATTGAATCAACACAAATGCATTTCAGACGTCTCAAATTTATGGTTGCTTTCCCACAGGATTGTGGAATTATATTTGGTGCTCTTTGGCTAATGGCATGAAAAGAGGTGCTACAGTACATCATAGAAATATGAGTGTAAAACGATGTTTTCATAGAAGAAACACAAAATCCTTCTGGAGTTTGACAGAAGGATATAAGTGGTTGTCATGCAAACACGTCTCTGTTTTTGTTCACAGTGGGAAAAGGTGTGATTCAGACATACAGCCACATATGTGTGTGTACATAAATAAATATATATATAACCGGCCAGCCACCTGGAGCCGGTGTCTGCTTGAGGTTTCTGCCTCTTAAAAGGACGTTTTTCCTTGCCGCTATTGCCAATTCCTTGCTCATGGTGGGAACTGTTTGGTCTCTGTAAATAACTGTATTAGAACAACGGTCTAGACCTGCTCTATTTGAAAAGTGTCCTATGATAACTTTTGTTATGAGTTGGCGCTATACAAATAAAATTTAACTGACTACATATATATACACAGCTATATGCACTCATCTATTAGATAGATGTATAGATAGATAGATAGATAGATAGATAGATGTATAGATGTATAGATGTATAGATGTGTGTCGCCCCCTTGTGTTTGGGTTTTGCAGTTGCC